TCGCTGCGCACCAATGGCAGTGGCATCAGCTTTTGCTCCTCGACAAGCGATATATCCGCTGCGTTGCCAACCAGCCATTCTCCTCCCACACAGATCCCATCTACACACGTCTTGGCCTCATCTCCATTATCCACAACGCCCATTGTAAACTCCACCTCCTCATGCTTCGTATCCACACCGGCAGAATTAGCAATCTCCTGTCCAAGCGCCTATGTCGCCAGCCTGAAGGTGCCAATGACCCCAACGCGTACGGTGTCCCTTCCACGTACCAGGCGAGTCTCGGATGCCTGTTGGCCACTCGATTTTGCTGTTAGATGATGGAATGCCCTGCCCCAACCAAGAGTTCAAGTCCCTCGCCTGCTAGTATACATGTAGATCAATCAAGAGGCTTTTCAAGGTTTATGTTTGTGGTTAGCCAGCATCTACATCTAGGCTTGGAGTCGTCCTGCTAGGTGAGTCTAAGGTGACTCTACTGCGCTTTTGTTTCGTTTTGTTTGTCTTTTGTTCTTTTTCCTACTTACCTTGTTCTTTCTTCTTTTTCTTCTTCTTTGTTTCCGTTCTTCGTTTTGCGTGTTTGCAGTCTGTGTTCCTTTCTCTTTCGTAAAGGTTTGTTGTTTTCTTGGATATTGGATGTTACTTTATCGCAACTTCATAATACTGTGTTGTTGCCAGTTTGGTCTGCGATACAAAAATACAACAACAACAACAACAACAACAACAACAACAACAACAACAACAACAACAACAACAACAACAACAACAACAACAACAACAACAGCAGCAGCAGCAACAACAACAACAACAACAACAACAACAACAACAACAACAACAACAACAACAACAACAACAACAACAACAACAACAACAACAACAACAACAACAACAACAACAACAACAACAACAACAACAACAGCAACAACAACAACAACAACAACAACAACAACAACAACAACAGCAACAACAACAACAACAACAACAACAACAACAACAACAACAACAACAACAACAACAACAACAACAACAACATTGACATCTCCAACTTCAATAGTTATTATACCTGCTACCAATGCTACGGTCAAAACAACTCGACATACAGATAAACAGTGAACGTGATTTGAAGGGCGATTATCCAATGCCATTATCAGACATCATGATCGCGTGGGGTCGTTGCACGGCAATGCAATCACGTAAAATGATTATAATGTCATCATTTAGTATAATGTCAAAATGATGACTGACAAGGACCATGATGACATGTGATACATTATACTGATCATGATACACATGTACCAATGTCTCAGGACCACGACTAGAACGTCATGTGCATAGTATGTTCACATCGTTGCTGCCGCCCTGCCCTCTCATCCAACCTTCATGCGGCTAAGCAGTTGGATACTGAGGTACAATTGTCATGTGCATGTAGAAGTACTGAAGGCCTGAAGTACATGTAGTTGATTTGAAGCCTGGAGAGGACTGAACATCGGTAGTGCTGGCGGGACACTTGCTTTACCAACACTTATCACCAGATTGCTCGCCATAGAGTTGGAAATCCCCGCCCCACGCCCCTGGATATCAGAACTGTTCTTATCCGTGTCTCACTAGCACTGTGTGTTGACATCACTAGTGACTACCACTGATCCTTAGTGGCTGTGGCCATTCAGCCAGGCTGACCGTGGTGCCATTGCTGTTCACGCCACAGGACGGTGACACATCTTGCTGTTCCCTCTCTTGTTGTTCAAATAATTATGTTCATACATGTACATGTACATGTACATGTATGTGTACTGTGATGGACATGGAAATCCGGTCGCACATCTAGCCTCCAATGCGTCCAGGGCGCTGGCCATGCAGCCTTGGGTGAGCTGTACATGTATGGCCTGATGACATACATGTACAATGATAATTCTTGTACATGATTGTAATCATTATGCGCTGCCCCGTAAAAAAAAATTATGCGCTGCAGCACACTGTACTGGTCGCACTGTTATTATATAACCCAATACTAGTAGTACAAAACTAGTATAATAGATAAACCTTGTTATACAATCATGTACAGTCATGTACATGTAGTTCACACAGATTTTATATTTCGCACTGTTCTAGCTGAGGGCGCCGGCCCCAGTCAATCGACTGGATTTCCATGTCCACGACAGTACATGTACATGTACAATGTAGCTCGTAGTGTTCATGTCGTGAGTTCTGTAATTTTACAAAATAAATTTCGGCGTACTTTTATTTTCGGTACATTCAGTGCATCTGTTTCATACCTAAAATTTCAATAACCGAACAAACACTAGCACACATAATCCAATACTATGCCATAGGGAACTACTTCCCTGTACCGGAAATTTCTGTTCACCTAGCCTGGCTCATACCAAAATTAAATATTTTGAGCACCTAAAATGTCTGAAATTAGAGTACCTGCAAAGTACATGACGGCCAGATCTGAATGCCTTGTATTGGGATCGTAGTCCCTTGCAGACCATAGATATTACAGTCGTGTACATATACATGTACATGTACATGTATATGTAACGTTAATATGATAGTAGTGTCGCAACAAGGAGGACGAGCTGAAGTGACATTGGATTACTTTATGTCGAGCGATGGAGACGTTGCGAAAACAATGTAAAAGGAAAGTAGAAATACATGTTCCAGAAAAAGCGATGGAAAAAAGATGATTCGAACAAGTTTTCGTACAAAACTCTTCAGGAATCACGCTATACTAAAGAATCATTGGGTAACGCGCCTAGTATGCGTAGCCGGACGTACCCCCAGCGCGCGAGCCTTGCAAGATCTTCCGTACAGCCCATGTCACGTGCAGACCCCTGTCACGTCCAGACCCGGTACCCATGATGGCATTACAGGCAATCTACTCTACATACTACGTAGTACTGGTACTGGTGCCAGTGGTGGCAAGTCAGGCTAGATGAAAATTTATTCACATTTTGTGACTGGGAGATTTATAGAACTGAGTTGATAACATCACTGCATTAGCAAGTGATACTAATACTCGTATTAGTAAATCAAGAATCTCTCCTCTTATCTTCCATGCGCTCTCACTCTCAGCCGACACCGTTACTACCCTCAGTAGTCATTACACACCAAACATTCCAAACAACCCCTTTGGGCTATTCTCATGCAAGCAGCACGCACTGAGTGAACAGCACTAGCCTGACAGGGTGGTAAAAGCCGGTGAGTGGAAACTGTAACTAAGTTATACTACATAGTCCTACAGCTTCTCACCTGCGATTTCCCTGGAACCCTGTGCACTGCATGCAGGTTGCCGGTTTGCCAAGTCTGAGGTTCGATGGACTTCTCGTGTGCTTTGGATGGCAACCGTGAGTCAGTCAAGTGTCAAGTCAAGTCGGCGGAAAATTGCGAGCCTCGGTGGAGGGTGCGAACAACTGGCCTATATAAATCGCTATCACTATTTTCATGGTCTTGTTCTTTTCTTGCAGTCTTCCAACACATTTTCGACTTTTCAAAGCACACGGATTCCTGGATCCGTGCTGAGCCGAATGAATGACAGTTCCCACTAACACGTTACTTTAGACAGTAGTCGGACTAGTCCGACCATGTTGCACCTTGCCGGATCCAACAAGAAATTCTCAGACGGCGCTTGACAGGCCCGTCAAAGTTGGGCGATTTGGACTGCCCGAGTGCACAAGATGACAAGGGAGCCCATTCGCCAGGGTCAGACACCAGCTGGCGCATTCTGCTATCGTCTGCATGATTATCCGCGTCGGCTACTTCGCATGCACCTCGTAGACGTAGGCTCGTACAGGCCAGTGAGTTTACGTCACGTATTATCATGATTATAGAGCTGCTCAAAGAAATCCGATCGCACAAGTCACTGAGGTTTTCATTGGTATTAAATGTGGCAAAGCCGACCGTGTCACTCGATTTGTTTGGGTTCACCATTATTATTCAGTTTGGCGAGTTCCGACATGATGCAACACATAATTATTGTGAAAATGCACTACAAGTACAAGGAGAGACGATAGGATCTAGGAAAGCTCAGTAAATGGACAGTAATACTAGACATACTAGTACTACTAGTAGCCTCATACACTAGCTTGTACTCAAAGTAAAGAATACTGAAATAAAGACAAGTACAAGTCATGTAGATCTACATGATTGTACATGTTCGATATAGCGTACACGGTATTGTACATGTTCGATATAGCGTACACGGTACAGTGCTCACAAGACTTGGTGGACTTGTACTTGAACGTTGTAGTGGCAGCTAGCTAGCCTTCACCACGATGTGATTTATACGTGTAGTTAGGTGCTCCTGTGGTCCATTCCTTTTATTTCCCCACATTTTGTTCATATTGAGTGCGAGTGCTAATCTCGAAGTGGAACAGTCCTGCGTGGATAACGACTACACCCTTGACCTGGCTTAGTGGTAGAGTATCGATGGCTATAATATAGCCATCGATAATATTATTATTATAAGCGAGGGTCCCTGCTTCGAGTCCGAGATCCTGGTGCTGACAGTCAATTTTTTCTTCAGACAATTCCCGTTTGCAACTTTCCCTCAAATTTTAAATGAATAAAAAAGAATGTGGCCAGCATGCATGCATGGTAGACGCTAAAATGATTCATTGATTGTCTGGAGAGAACCCGTACTACTGCTACTAGTACATGACTGTGTCAGTACAGGCCCAGTAGTTTGTCTACAGGATGTCTACAATCATTAGGCTTGACTAGGCATGTACATGACTACTGACTACTGTAGTACATGTCCATTGTTGTCTATTGGTATGTGCGAGCAAAACATACGGGATACACGTCAAGAAGACAGCTAGGGAAGAGATGACAGCAGGCCACGAGATCACCTAGCTTCTATATCAAGTCCCAGACCTCCTGCCGCGTAGTCTCTCAGCAATGCGCGCATGTTTCCTCGCTCCCGCTGAGATCCCCGCAGAGCAGCGATGACTCTCAGCAGCGGCAGTTTCCAGGACCAGGGCTTCCTTACTCACCTGCTTTGGACTTTGGTGTTCTCATTTTCATGATGCCGCGTGAACATAGTTTAATCGTTTTGTTATTTCCTTCTTTTGATCAGGAAAATAAGGTGGAGCAGAGGTAGGCAAGGCTCTCTAACCGGTATACCGAAGTGTTTGGCATCACCGTAGTAACGGATTATCGCTTCTCCCGGCCAGGCCTTCAGGGTATGTCCAGATCTGGGGAAGACTTGTGGTTGGAGTTGATTTCTGTGACACCAACATCCAGCTCAGCCTAATCCACACAGCTAGACATTGCAGGCGCTTGTTAGCTAGGTACTGCACCTGGGATTATCGCCTAGCAGTTAGGCTTGTTTTTGGTCGAATAATCCCCTGATAAGTTACTTTCTGGCCTGTTCCCCTTCCAAGTAGTTCAGCCCTGAACATAGTCACCGCAGTAACTGTCGTAGAATGTATGTGCAAGCCTGATCCAATCAAAGACGGAGGCAATACGGGCAGTTGTACAGTCTCCACCATGCATCGATGGTGCTCACCATACCGGTACGTAGAGACGGACCCTAAGTGCTGCATCGCAGCTGGATAGCCGATCCCCCCCACGACCACCTGTGTTCATTTCGCAGTACGTAACAGTCGTGGACGCTTATGAGCTTGAGACCTCGGTCAAGACGCGAAGGGTTAATCGCCGTCGCAGTTATTGGAAGCTCCGCCATTTTCGAACCCCATCCGAATTTAATGCCTCTGTTTCTTTGTCGATTGGCATTGATCTCTCAACGAGCTTGCTGTAGTTTCATCAAGACTTGCTGTAGTTTCATCAAGACTTGCTGGAGCAGCTTCGCTAGACTTCTGCTTTGTGGGGTGTAGTTTGCCATACAGTAGCCATTATGCCATCAGCATACCCTGCACACGGTACGAGTACTAGTACCTCGGAACACATGTCTAGCAATTCGACGGCACACTGTCAGGATGAGCCGGGCCAGTATCTTCTTTTCTCAGCAGGATCGCGAAAAGGATATACCCGATTTCCCTTGACGACGCATTCGACTCCTCTGGAGGTGAGTTTGCAGTCTCCGCATAGTCAAAACTCATCAAGTTTGATCGAAGCTTCTCCAAGCGAAGAGGACTATAGATTGTGTTCTTTCCCAGGTACAATAGCCAATGTGTGCTCGACAATGACTGATCGAACCAATCTTAGTGTTTTGACAGGAGCTGCTCAACCGCAGCTCAATATTCCAGTGGTATATGCCCAGTCCTCAGGGTTTGAAGGTACCCCTAATCTCATTCTAGGACAGCAAAGCACAGTGGTTAGCTCTCCACCTTTAGTACCAGTAGCAGTGTACCTACAACCGACTACTGCTGCTGCTTCTGTTGCTTCTGGTCCTGTTGCTTCTGGTCCTGTTGCATCTGGTCCTGTTGCTTCTGGTCCTGTTGCTTCAGCTCATGTTGCTTCAGCTCCTGTTGCTCAGTCTGCTCCTGTTGCTTCTGCTCTGGTTGCGGATCCTGCTGTTGTCCTCAAATACAAGCCGCAGCGGATCCGAAGAACTAAAAAGGCGCCAAAAACAGTGGCTTTGCCAGCTTATCCAGGCCCTGTAATTATGAACAGTTTCCATGTTGGATTACCCCTGGTAAGTGCTGGTAAGCAGCACAGTGCCACAAGCAACTTGCATCAGCAGCAGTGCAGTGCCACCAGCTTCCCCCAGCAACAGCAGTCACATACGTTCCCACCCTTGCAGTACAGTGGCGCTAGCTTGCCATCACCACCTACTTTAATACCCTTTCAGTACAATGCTACCCCCAGTACCAGTCTGGATCAGAAACAGTCGCCACCAGGTACAGGGCAGCAGTACAGTGTCACCAGCAGCGTGCACACGCAGCAGTACAGTGCCACCAGCAGCGTGCACCCGCAGCAGTATTCACTATCGGCTCCTATTCCCTTGTACCCAGGCATATACCAGAGCCAGAGTGTGGAAGAAGCCGGAAGAGCAGCAACAGTGCATAACCTCCCACACAGTGCAGCGGCGCCACCGGCACCTGCACCAGCACCTGCAGGCAGCAGCCAGCTTCCTGTTCCGCAAGCGGCAGCAGTAGTACTGAGTTACAGTATCGGGGATGCTACCCCCAGTTGCTATGGTAACAGTGCTGCTGAAGGAAAGCAACCACCACTCTGGCATGAATCACCGGGCAGCAATATTGCATCATACGGCGGCGGATCAGACGATGGCCACCTTGCTGAGGAAGTTCTGCAGGGAGATGGTGATGCGCAAGGTGACGTCGGTCCCAGTCCCAACCCTGGCCAGGATGAAATGAGGTGCAGTTGGCACACGGACCACGTGACTCCATGTGGCAAGCTATTCGACAGTATGGATGATTTCGTGGAGCATGTTAACCTGCATGTGAATGCCGTCTCTAATCGACATTTTGCCTGTCGCTGGTCCAATTGTAACCGAAACGAGCGCCCATTCAAAGCAAAGTACAAACTTATCAACCATGTTCGCGTCCATACGGGTGAGCAGCCGTTTGTGTGCCCACTGTGTCGCAAACCCTTTGCCAGGGCAGAAAATCTGCGCATACACGAGCGAGTTCATAGCGGCGACAGACCTTTCAAGTGTACCCACCCCGACTGTAAGAAGAGATTTGCAAACTCATCTGATCGCAAGAAGCATACGTTTGTCCACACTGATGAACGGCCATACGTTTGCAAACAGCCTGGCTGCGACAAAAGCTATACACATCCCAGCTCTCTGCGCAAGCATGCCTTGGCGCATATTCCTGCCACCGCCCAAACCTAATAATAAGCTTTATAAGCAATGCTCAGAAGTCAACATCACCAATAAAGCAGCACAATACATGTTGTAATTGTTGCATGTTATTGGTGTTGTTGTTGTCCAAGCTGCATCACAAACAGGCAAACTACGTGTGCGACTATAATTATGAAGAAAATGTTATGCAAGAGTGGAGATGCTTTGGCGAAGTCGCAGCACAGCGCTGCACTAAGTCTTGCACTAGCAACTGACACTGAATATATAGTGCCCATATTAGGCAATTACCTGTGGCTGCTCCAGACTAAGCGCTCTTTTTTTCTAATTGCATTTTAAACTGTATTTAGGTGTTGCTGTAGTTTTGGAGTGGTATTACATACATTACATAGAATTTGCTGAACTTCACGCTCTCATGTACTCTCTCTTTCTCTCAATCTACCCCTCCCCCCCCCCCCCCCCCGCCTCCCTTGTTCTTTCTCTTTCCCTCATACTTCCATTTATCTGGTGCGTCCAGAGCGTGACGATGTCGAGACCAGTTGGTCGAGGGAGCGCCTGCCACCCCCCCCCCCCCCCACCACCACCATGGCTGCTGCATGTTCCCATTGCGTGCACCATATGGCTTTTAGTAGAAAATAAATAAAATTTAATAAATAAATAAAAAATAAACATACAGTCATAGTGTTAATCACACATTTTTTGCTTTGGAGCTACAAACATGTCTCTCTCTCTCTCTATCTATCTCTCTCGATCTATCTATCTATCTATCTATCTATCTATCTCTCGGCGTGCACTGCGCTAGGCACCGGCGAGATTATGCCGGCATAATTATTGGCATAATTTGGTGGTTGAAAATTTGGAGCATAATTTGGCATCCTCTCGGAGGTAGGAGCATAACTACATGATTGTACCACAGTTCTAGTATGCTGCCAGGCTACACAATTGTGTACAATGCACCTGATCAGTCCTGGTGGTCTGCATGGTAAAGGGCTGTGAAGTTGGAGGGCATGCACTGCAGATACTGAGAAAAGCAGGGTAGAAATCATGGCAATACATTATTGTATGGTCGAACTCGTCTTCTCAGAGTTAGTTCTTTCTCACACTGCCGGATGCAGTACATGTAGCAGAAGATGCGAGTGAATCAGCCTTTATCAGGAATCGGCCTGGGGCGGACGAGATACTAGGGAGGTTTAGTCCCACGTAATCCGTGGGTACTTTACGTGTGCGTACCACGTGATACTCAGTGACCCACGTACAGACGTTTTCTGATTCACGACATACCGTGTATGGAGGCTCACCCACGTTCCGCCAGAACGTGGGTGAAAATCAGTATGGAGCCCATTTTGCCTCGGAACTGTGAGGGTGCTCAGCCGAAGAAGTTTCCGAAGCACGAAATCAAAATATTCGATGAGCTTCTTAGGCCCAGGTAGCTTCGTTTTGACCAGGTTTGGGCCTTTCGCCTTCATGCTTTTGTTTGTTCCGTGTGACTAAACACAACATTGCAACGTGGATGCCCTTCATCCACTTGACGTGGATCACCCACGTACGCGTTTCCGTTACGCGGGAACTAAACCTCCCTAGTGACGGGTAGTCCGCAAACTGACTCTGCGTACATGTTCATTATTCATGATACGAAGTCATGACCTCTGGATTTTAGCTGCCATGTCTGTGCAGGCTTCGGACATTGCTACGGTATAATAATTTAAAAAATTGAGGCCGTGTAGTTGGTGTTCGGTCATGATGGAAGGAGAGGTGGAGCTACGGAAGAGATGAGCTGATTATTCGCAGGGTGAGGGTGACATATCGGTTGGACGAGTATGACGATTACGAAGATAGTTGAACATGATCATTTTCAAAGGTAACTCAAACTGATTTGGCAATGAAAAAATATTTTACTGAAGGAATGTTTTCCCTTTTCCATGATAATCCGACATGGACACCTTGGTATAGGGATACTCGTGTAACATATTGTTGTACTTATGGCCACTTGCAAGTACAAAAAGGCACAATTTTCCGAACTTTGGGGCTCCATAAGTACAACAAAGTGAGTATGTATCCCCGTGTGCCAAAGCATAATATGAGGATTTTGCGAGCATAATGCGAGAATCCATGAAAGAATAAATTCCATGATTTCGCGAGCATAATCCGCCGGAGCCTACACTGCGCCTGACCAGCACAGCTCTCGCAGCACCTACTACTCCTTTGTTGTCTTTGTATTTCGTCCGGTTGTCTCTTTCATTACCCCCATTAATTTGTAGGGATGTACACATAGCATAACACTGAATTAATAAGTTTGCATTAGGTACTGGCGGATTATGCGGGCATAATTATTGGATAATTTGGTGGTTGAAATTAGGAGCACAATTGCATCCTTTTGGAGGTAGGAGCATAACTACAAAGTCATGATTGTACCACAGTTCTAGTATGTAGGCTTCACAGTTGTGTACAATGCAACTGATCAGTGCTGGTGGTCTGCATGGTAAAGCAGTATTACCAAGTGCCCTCTACCCCCATCCGTATTGCTCAGTGCCATTTTGCGGAATTTTTCAGCGTTTTCCGTACTAGTTTTTTTCAGTTCAACATTCTCACTGATTATTAGTGTAATTTGGAAAAGAACCAATACACACACACTTGCACATGCATGTCCATTGTCACACTGCACTTGCTGAATTTCCTATCATTTCTCACCTGTATAGTTTTTATTACTGGCCTGCGCAAATTTCTCACAAGGAACCAAGCTTGCAACGCAAGGCAAGAAGCTGGTCTGAAGAAAAAGCCGAAAAAGCTACCGCCTGCTTCAAAGAGTCGCATGATGCGCATGGCATGTACATGTATACATGTACAGCGCACTGCATGCAGGCTGCATGCATGCTGCGATCCGATTTTGGGTAGATCGATCGATGCACGTCGTGGATGGGCGTCTTCTGCACCATTTTTCCCTCCTTTCGAAGACACCGTGTTTTCTCGCTTTTCCGGGATAATTCGATTGAAATCCGTACTGCGGACAAAACATCATTTTTACGTAAAAATACGGACAAATACGGGCAGTTGGTAACACTGGTAAAGGGTTCGGAGGTCATGCAGATAGTGTTTTAAATGAAAAGCAGGGTAAAAATCATGGCAATACATTATTGTGTGCTCGAACGCGTCTGTCTTAAAGTTCTTTCTCACACTAATACAGTATGTAGCAGATGATGCGAGTGAATCAGCCTTTATCAGGTATCCAGGAGGCGGCCGAGATAATGACGGGTTGGCGCAAAACTCTGCGTACATGTACATTATGCATGATACGAAGTCATGACCTCTGGATTTTAGCATCCAGGACTGTGCAGGCTGTGGATATTGCTCTAATAATTAACTTGAAAATTGAGGTATAGTTGATGTTCGATCATGATGGAAAGAGAGGTGGAGCTATGGGAGAGATGAGCTGATTATTCGCAGAGTGAGGTTGACATTGGTTGCACGAGTATGATGATTACGAAGACAGTTGAACATAATGATTTTCAAAGGTAACTCAAACTAATTTGGCAATTAAAAAATCTGTTTATAAAAGAAGTGAACTAATGTATAGAAGAAGTAATGTTTTCACTTTTCCATGTTGATCTCTAGCATGCATAGACACCTTGGTATGGGGATACTGATGTCTTTTGTTGTACTTATGGCCACTTGCAAGTCTTTGCAGTTGTTTGGCACTATTCGTCGTGAAGGTGCGAAATAGATCCCATGATCTCTTGATATTTTCTCTCTTTTTTTGTCACTACGTTTTTGTCACTTATTGGATTTGCATACTGTTTTCTTGACTCTTCACATCTATCTTTTTCTCGTGTCCCTTCTACACAATGTCATATAAATTGGAGTGATGTATCTCTGAACTTCTTTTCTTTATAGTTGTAGTCTCTTAGCTTATTTCCATCATTCCCTGTAGTATTTTGAGAAGAAGGGAACGAAAACGTTCAATACTTTTTGACGCATGTCCAAATTGGCTGGTGGTGATTCTTACGTAGATGCATGCGTAGACAATACATTTTTTGTAGTATTTTCTGCAAACCAGAGAGGTTCCAGGCTGTCCAAGAGAGTGCTCAATACCGAGTGGTAGAGCTGGTTCAAACAATAGGAGGACAGAGAAAGTGTTTTTACTCCGAGTTTCACGCACTGAGCGATCATCAGAAAACAGTAATGAGAAATCTGGATCAGTATTGGTGTATATACTATGTACTCACAAAGCAAAGTGTAAATAGCTGCAGCATGGCGCAAATCTAGAAGTTGTGAATGGCGGCAGTGCAAAGCGTAAATGACTGCATCATGGGGCAAATCTAAAAGTGTGAATGACAGCATTGGTGAAAGGTGATAACTCACACCAATCAAGAGGGCCCTCAGCCATTCGCTTGATATCATGGGGAGCGCATCAAACTATGTCCACTGCAAGCAAATACAAATTGCAATTTCAAAGCGAATGGCCGAGGACCCTCTTGATTGGTGTGAGTTGCCAGTATGATGCAAGCCAGATATGGATTGATCGAAGAAGGATAGATTTACCATCACTTTGGATAAGAGGCATTCTGTAGTTCAGTTGGTTAGAGCGTTGCTCGCGAATAGCAAGGTCCCTGGTTCGAGTCCCGGTGGTGTGACTGATGATTTTTTCTTTCTTTCATATCTGGCTTGCAAGTGTTGAGTTTCGGAGAGAAAAGAGCAGTTTTTTCATTTATTTTATACCAAAGTCCACTATATTCCCGAATATGTGCGAGAAGTGGTGGTGGGGCAAGGCTGCTCTGCCAACCTCAAAGGACTCGGCGTCTACGCAGACAAAAGCGCCATAATGCAGTAAAACCATGAGGAGGGGAGGAAGAGGGGAAATGAATAATAGTGAGGAACGAGGGCAATGGGTAGATGGTCGTGAGAGAAGCAGAGTGAAAGATAACATCACAATTGTGGTAAGGGGGGGGGGGGGGAGGGGAGGATGCTAGTGAGGCGCTGGTCTAAGTGTCGATGGCTGCTTGCCAGTTCAGGTGCAGCAGATACTTGTTGCATTTTTCCTTGAAGGATTGGAGCTGTCTGTGTTGCGGCCGTGCTGGTAGAATGGTCGCTGGTAGGCTGTTCCACAAGGGAATAATGCAGTCTGGGTAGGAATCCTGGAGGTTGCTACGAATGCGCACGGGCAGCGTCGACTTGAGCTGGAGCGGGTGGCAATGGGCAGTCTCCGTGGCTAACCTAGTGGATCGACCACCCACTGGGCGGGGTTTGGCTGGAGGTGGGAGGATGGGCTTCAGGGGGCTTGTTGTCGGAAGGTAGGACAGTTTGAACGTGAATGAGAGCGCAGCAACCAGTCGCCGGTGTTTCAGGCTGATGAGCCAGACGCCTGGGCCAATCACCTTCAGTGCCTTGTGCTGGGTTTTGTCCTGCCACGATGTGCATGACCCCATCCACACCAGGCAGCAGTATTCCATTGTTGGCCGCACGAAGCCTTTGTAGACTGCCGTGCGGCCGCTAGAGTTGGTTGGTTGGTTGATTGGTTTTTATTTCACTTCGCACATTCAAGCGGGATGACGACCCAATAAAATGACGGCGAAGGCTTAGCCTAGTAAAGGCTATGGAAGCACATAGTAAGAGAATAGGATACTAATAACTGCAAGTAAACGGGGGGGGGGGGGAGAGAGAGAGAGAGAGAATACGATGTATCTGTGATACTACGTGAGGATTACTGAACTGCACGGGGAGGGAGAGCAGAGCTATCAGCAGCAACTCGAACTACTGGTACTCCCTACAGGCGTATGGTACACATGCATGCTTAAACTCAGGTAGCCGGGTAATTGTGCGGACCTCACCAGGGAGAGCGTTCCACAGCAGAGCACCAGCAAGAAAAAACCTCC